GAGAAAAACCTGTCTAATCCTTGCTTCAGACCCTCAGCAGTGACATTAGTATAAAAAGCATCCCATGTACACCAGCCAAACCAGTTCAGAATGTCTGGCATCTGAACCATAATGGATGAAGACAATGAACATTATTAAAAAAAAAGGGCCTGAAAAGGTTTGCAAATGAAGTGTTTCATTGGAGAAAGAGAGAAACTACCTTCTTTTTCTCTCTGTGCGAAAAGGTTTGCAAATGTTTCTCAACTGTCCTGTGTTTCAATTTGTAATGCACAGCTTGATCGATCATTCGTGTTAAGATAAAGACTGACACTATTTGAGGCTACAGGTGAAGGAAACGAAATTCTTCTTATGGAACAGAGGGGAGAAACTTACTTCACTGAGTTGGTGATAACATCATAAGGGTCTGATCCAGCTGCAACGAAAACCAAATGACTGCCCTCAAATTTATCAACAGCAGGATCTCCTGCAAATAACCAGCAATCCTACAAATTTCATAAAGAGATCCAAGATATTCAGATCATGTCAAAATCTAAGTTAATGCTTTTTCTTACCACTTTCCAAGCAGATTTCCAACTCATTTTGTTCATTCCCTTGAAGAACAGCCCTGAAATCACCTTCAAGAATTGGCAAGAAAACCGCATACCTTATTGATTGATTGGCTTCATCTGTACTTCCCTCATCAATATGAGTGTCATCACATACTTCAACAACAAGGAATTGGGTCTCAAAGGGGATATCTTTGCCAGATGCACCCATCCATTGAGTCATCCACCAGAATTTGTGCCGGAAGACACACATGAAACGCAACTCCCTGCTGGTCAGAACCGAAACTTAATGCCAAGAAAAACATAGGAGAGCATGATGACACAAATATGAGAGAAAAATCGTAATGAATTCGAAGAGCCCTGAAGATGAACATACTCAAGCTTTCCAACAGGAAAGACTCTTCTGCTTCCCATCTGATCTGATCTGACTCCAATGAAAGCCCCATCCATCAGTGCATTCCCTGAGCCTGATGAGGCTGCTGTTATCACTACATTGTCATGAACATCACGCAAGACGCACTTCCCATACACCGTCAACTTCCCATCACTCAAAGATATCCCAGCCCCAACAGTCATTTTGAGTCTTGTAGCTAGAATGTAGAATCAAGAACAGTAACTGCCACTGCCCCAAGAGCTAGAACCTCAAATCAACACAAAGGAAATGAAAAACAAATACTACACCACCAGAAACAGCAGAATCAATACCATATCCAACAATTCGTTATATGCAGCTGTCCTGTTACAAATGAAAGCAAATTTTTTTGGGGTTGGGGGTGTCAGAATAATAAAAGCAATCTTTCAATGCTCGAATCTAATGGCCTAAAAGCAAAGCAAGCATATTCTGTAGAAATGCTCGCAGACAAAACAATTAATCAATCGGAAGCAGCATATTAAAAAAAAAGCATAAAACCATCCTCTTGATTCTGTAATCAGAATACGAATGTTGAAGGGGAAAAAGAAACATACCACTGGACTAGACTTGTCATTTACAAAGATACAAGCAGCATCAAGGATGCATTGCTGTCGTCATCTTCTCTGTTCTAGTACTTCCTCGGTTATTTTGATGTGGAAGAGTTGAAGCCCTCAAAAAACAGAAGAAACAAACGTAAATGTTGGTAATAATAAAGCCATAAACAAATGTGGACCTCAAAAGTCACATCTGTATATAATATATAGATAGCATAGCTGCCAGCAGCAACCAATAAAACACCAAATAAGGAAAGCTGAAATTGTAATAGCAAGGCAGGTGGTGGTACTACTTCTCCACTCATGGCCGCCACCCATTCTATCATAATGTGACTCAAAAAATGTAGTCTCCTTGCAGAATGAAGCACATCTCCAACCTCATAGAGACCTATACAAAAGAAGAACCACCCACTTGTCCTTCAAGCACACCTCTAGAAAAGACAACTTTCTGGTAGATAGGCTTGTCAAAGTGGGAGTCAACCGAAATAGATCCTTTTACGCCATTTTGTGAAATTTCTACCTAGGGAGTTCAGACCTTTTCCTCTGTGGCAACAAACCACTGAATGTATTGTCACAAACATTAGCTGTATACTTAATTAGCACCATGCCATCTCGCGGTCCATACCTATCAATACCTCGAGCTTAATTTCCAGATTGCTGTATGGAGCAGGTAGAGTGGCACACTAAATTAGAAGAAGTTCCAACGTACCTGTCACTATGCATGCAGATGCAGCAGACTTAGATGAGAGGACCCAGAGTTGGATATAGTTGTCACCATGCATGCAGATGCGGCAGACTTAGAGGAGAGGACCCAGAGTTGGATCTAGTTGTTCTTTCTATGAGGCCCATCAGTTATATATCTTCTCTGTGAAGCCCAACAGTTATCAGTGATTGTGACTGTAGGAGGATTCAAAGCTCGAAAACTGGACCCGCTAAGCCATTAACAAAGCAGCCTTGCTAACCATTCCCATGATTTATAACATTCAATTATCTACTAGATCTCTATTTACGTTCAATTTAGAGCTACCTATCACGTTGAATAAGAAACTGTAATCTCTCAACATAACATTGTGAAATACTAGCCACACCAAGTTGACGATCGAAAGCATAGCCTTGAACCAACAGGTTGGATGCTGTTGCCTGTCAGGGTAGTAGACTTCTCGTCAGGAATTCAAATATTAGTATCACCCATAGTCATGCATCCACTTCATGATCAGGACCAATCCTTGGCAAAGCAAAAACATACACTTTAAACCATTGCCTTTCAACAGATAAATCATAGTAAACAAATTAAAATCATTGAGTATTTAAATGGAATTCTAAATTGCCGGATTATTCTCTTAATAATTGCCAAATGATAGGCATGTAGGAGTACATAAGATTCAATTTATAAATGCAAAACTTTATGAGATGGCAATGTGTGTGTGTGCGTGTTTTGGATAATTTTATTTTGTTTTTAGTCCAAATGGCTTTTGATTATTTGCTTATAACAGCTTTGGGGTAGGTATCTAGAAATGAAGTAATACCAAACTTGCATTATTATCTTAATTATTATAGATTCATAGCCACTTCTCACACCAAACTTAGTAGCTGGGCCAGTCTACCTGAAACATGGGATGGGTCCTTAAATATTATTTGATGAGAATATTTTTTTTTTTATAATTGAGAGAGAGGGTAGTCGAACCTTACTCTTTAGGCGGGAGATAATATACTAATCAATGAATCAAATACTTGAATGCTATCAATCTAGCCCAAATTTGCAACTTTAACGATTTTATTTTGTATTATTTGACAAATATTTTCATTTTTAGATTTTTTTTTAGGTAAAAATGGCCTTATCCAACATCGGCTGAATAAAAATAGATATACTCTATCTGTCTTTAATTTTTAATAAATTAAAACAATATTCCAATATGTATATGTATATGATAAATATTATCGGTAATTCATTAAGACGATAAAAAACAAAATTAATGCTTGAAGAGGATAAGATTTTACTAGATTTATATAGTAAAATGACATTCAACTTTATGATTGTTAGTTAACTCATGAAGATGACAAAAAATCTGATACCATAGCAACATCACCAAGTCTTAATTTTAATGAATGAGATGTGTTAGATATATCAAAGGATCATAAGGTGTGAATTCCAATTATCACATTTAAATCCTATTCCTTTCATTTTAAGTAATATTCACATAGATAATTAATCATACATATACCATGATTACAACAAAATAATATCAAAATTAAACTAAAGACTTTTCGCTTATCGATTAAAAGTCAAATGCTTAAATGCTATATATCTAATTAATTAAACCCTTAATTGATTTGTTAATTCATATTAATGACTTGTTCCTCTTTTGTTCTTCTTTGGATGGTTGCTTTGCTAGCCACTAAAGGAAGAATCCTTAGAAAAATCTGCTATGGGTCAACACTGACTTTTGCTTTTGCTCCCACTACCAATGGATCATACATAAAATACCTTGGGCAGATATTTTTGGCCTTTGGAGACAATGATAGCTTCTCCACCATAGAAAGAAGGAAGAAATAATAATCTTCTTATGACACTTTGTAGCCAAAAAATAAAATAAAGTAATCCACTTCAAAAAGTGTTTACCCTATAAGAAAGAAAAGAAAAGGAACATGACTTTTGGGTTATAATATTATTAAAAGAATTTGATATAAAAATCTTATTTTAGTGATTATATTTTAATTGGTATTTATTCAATCGATTTAACCAATTTAATCGATTAAATTAATTTAATCGATTTGATTTTAAATTTTTGAAAAATCGAATTATCCCAAGATGGACAATTGAACATGGCATGATGGGTTGGTTCCAAAGATGGAAATTCAGTGGGTGAAAAGGCTCACATATTTTCTAAAGCTGTGTGCTGTGCTGCTTGAATCTCGACTGTCGACAGTGTTGGCCCTTTGGCTTTTGCGAACCTATTCTTCTTTGCTTTTAACTTTACAGCTTTGGATCCATCTTCTTTGTCTTGTGCTTCACATTCACATTATTATTATACAAAATTCACTGCAATTGACCACTTTCTATTTCGGTTTCAGCACCACACCCCACATGCACTTGTGCACACATACGTGGATTGCACCCCAAACAAAGACAACCCAAGCAAGTTCTAACTCTTCCTTCTATGTAAATTCATTTCTACCCTTTTTTTTCTAAACCAAATATATATATATATATATATTAAACATCATAAAACAATACGAAATCTCGATTAAGAACCGGTCACACTATAAACAATATCGAAACAACATCATAAAGAATAAACAACGTTAATACAAAAAGTCAAATTACTATCGAACAGCTTGATGAAATACAAAATATATCAACAATGATAATTAAAATTGATAAAAAAAAAATACTTAGTTGATTGTGTGATTCACGATTAGCACCATGTGTAAATCATTATTAGCTAATGAAAAACTGGGATTATGGATATTTAAGATTTATCAATCATCATCATTACAAAAAAGGTGCACCATGTAGAAATGTTATGTTATATTATTTAGAATAAGATATATGCAAACAGTTTAGTCAAGATGGAAAGACTTACTTTATATATATAATTGATTAGGAAGTGGAGTTAAAATTATTTTTTTTAATGTCAAAAATAGTTATTATCCTAAGCTTTCCATCAATCTCCATTATAAAGTAAAAAAATTGGGAGTTTGTGATAGGCCAAAACTTTCAATTTTTATAGACAAACAAACCATTAATAATGGATTAATTAATTGCTGCTGCAATGCAAATGTAGACATAGTCACAATGGGATTAGAGAAGGAGATTGGAACCATTATTTTGTTAATGGATGAGCCTAAGATATAAAGTTAAGAATTTTGAATTTAGGATTTTCATGTTTCGTACAATTTCATATATTAAACAAGTTAAATCCGCTTAACTAGCATACATTAGTTTAACTCATATTATGTCATTGTTTTAATTTGCACAATATGACATGTTTAAATTATTTATAAAACTCATTTAAATAAGTTCATCCTGTCATAATAGTATTATGTTATATAAAATTTGTTTATCACATATTAATTGTGTCATATCATGTAAAAAATATATTCATGTATGTAGTTCTAATATTAATCTATCTAATTAACCATAGTGTATTCATATTTATTCTAAACATGACAAGATTAGAGCACAAGATAACCTATATGTTATATGGTTATCCATAATCTTGACAATAGTGTCGTGGGTTAACAGTATTTATCTTTTTTAGTATTATCGACCAGTAATTGACCAAAAAAGGCTACTCCTCCTCTTAGTCTTTAGATGAAAGCCTTCTAGAAGGCTTCCCCCACATGCCAAGCTTCCCCTACAAATGGCTAAAATCGAAAACAACTATATCCGTCGTACGATGGCAAGACTTTCACTTGATATTATAATAGAGTATCTAGATTGGAGGCACTTAATTTAAGAGAGACAGGAGGACAGGGGCTTCTAGAAGCCCTTGCAAGTGCCAAACTACCCCCACGGACTTGAAAGAATCTTTCCCCTTCCATGTGTTGCAATGATACAGCAAACAGTTGGGCAGTCTCTTTCATCTCGTCTCCACCGTGTGATTGGGGCCAATCAGAATCATGATGTGAGAGCACAGATAGGTAAGGCGTAAGGCATAAGAGGCGGAGGGACTTGTTAAATACGTGGACGGATGAGGGTTTTAGTCTTCTAGAAACCCTGGTCTGGCCAAGCTGCGGCTCACTTAACCACAAGCTGGTGGGAAGGGGGACCAGGGACCATTGGGTCTGACCATGGATGGTTTAGGGGGAGGATTGTGATGGAGCTTTTTCCCTCGGCTGCAAGCAATGCTTGTTCAGCTTTAGCCAAGACTTGGGAGAGTACAAGCAAATGAAAATCCACTGGCACAATTGGAAGGTGAAATTGCATAGTGAAGCATACATTTGAAAAGCACATGGCTCTGCCCATAGATTTTAAAACCAGCAACCCGAGCTTAGAATTAAACCATATCAGAATTAATGAATTGGAGTGTATTTATATATATATATATATATTCTATAATTATCTCACATATTTAATTCTATGTTGGAATGAAGATGGGTCTAGTCATGTGATTTGCTTATTAAGGACAAGTGTACTGGTGTAATATTGCGAATCTTTATATTCAATTCAATGGTCTATTTGCTCGTATTTTTTTAAAAATAGTTTTCAATTAACTTAATTTATAGTAAAATCTAAATTATAACTTTTGCACTTTAAAAGTAGTTTTATTTAGAAATATACATAATTGTATGATAACAATATTATATATATATATATATTTTTTAAGATAAAGTATTTTTTTATAACAAGAAAATCCAAAACAGATAAATTTTTTTTATTTCTATTACTTGTAATTTTTCAATTACAGAATCGAATCATTTTTTAATCAAACTTAAATCGAATCATTTGACTAATAAATTTAGTTGAACTCGAATTTTATAATACTCAATTTAGATATGACATGAGTTCTAAACTTAAATTCAAGCTCGAGTTTCAAACCTTTTACTCAAAATTGATAATAATCAAACTTAATCAAACCAAGTTTAAGATCAAGTAATTAAATTATTTTTTATATTTAATTTTAAAAAATTAAAATATTAATTTATTAATTAATACATTAATTTTCTGTTTACAACAAAAACCAAAGCAAGCCGGCAAGAACAATAGAAAGAAAGAAACATCTTAAACGGCTGGCTCAAAGCCGGCGCCGAAGAGAAAAAAAAAAGGCCGAAGATCTTCTAGAAGCTTTTATAAAACAAATCACAAAATTTCAGACGCTCACTGCCATGTCAGCATCCAAAGACAAAAAACCACCCGACAAAACATAACCCACACCCGGTTTTTGTACTTTCTCTCTCTAAGAAAAAACCTCCGCCTTTCTCTCCCTAAACAAAGTCTCTATCTTTGACCTCTATATATCCCCACTCCCCTCTGTGGTTCCCCTCTCCTCGCATCTCGATTTGCATTCGATTTCCCTCTTTTTCCATACCTCTTTTACCTTTCCTTTACCCAATGTACGCAGCTCTGTCTTCTTCTTCTTTGGCCGCTAAACCCATCAGCAGTTTCTCTCCGATTTCGCGACGCGGGAAGGCGGAGACCGTCAGGAGTTCGGTGCAGACGCCGTCTTTCAAGTCCGCTACCGCCACGGGCAACAAGAACGCGGCGATGGCGGTGACGGTGGCGAGGGGGAGTTTGTACGAGGTGCTGAGGGTGGAGAGGACCGCGTCGCTGAACGAGATCAAGACGGCGTACCGGAGCTTGGCCAAGATGTACCATCCCGACGCGATGGGGTCGTCGTCGGACGGTCGCGATTTCATCGAGATACAGAACGCGTACGCGACGCTGTCGGATCCGACGGCGAGGGCGATGTATGATATGTCGTTGGTGGGGCGGGCGAGGCGGGTCAGGGCTCGGGTCTACACGCCCCGGACATGGGAGACCGATCAGTGCTGGTAGAGAAAGCTAGGCGCAAACTGTTGGTGTTAGGACACAGGTTGCGGAAATGTAGGAAATTTTAGAGACATGTCACTCGACGTGGCAATGTTGTTAGAATTTATTGTAAAAACCCCCCCTTCTGATTCTTTTGTTTTGTCTGCGGGAATTGAGTAAATACACATTGTTTTTCTTCCCCATCTTCAACATTCTTCTTCTTCTTTCCCTCTCATTTATCAATATCCTGGGAACACAATTCAAGGTACAGAGTGCATTGGATGGCAATGAGATACATATCGTTTTTTGAGCAGAGGCCAATAGGTACAGAAACTCACCATGTGCAAAACAAGCGCATCTAAGATGTCAAAACAGAATTTCCTTTCCTAATTTGATCTTTAATCTTTATAGGGAAGCAACATACAAGACACTTTGCAGTCTCTCAATAGCTTTCAATTCAAAACAAAAGAGTTTGGATGCACAGAAAGGACCCTGGACTGGACTGTTTTGGTTAGGACAGAGAGGAACCAATCTGTTCAATGGCATGGTCCAGATATCAACAAATTACAAATCCTGGACTGTCTTTGTTCAACATATAACCGAACAAAGAACATCCTGATGAGAGTCCAGTGAAAGTGTAATTCATTGGTGTTTAATCTTTACCTGATTTATCATGATGAACAAGTAAATCCTTTGGTGTCATGTAACAAAGACAAACACACACAGACCTGCATTTGTTAAATGGCATGGTCCAGATATCAACAAATCCTGGACTGTCTTTGTCCAACATAACAGAAGAAAGAACATCCTGTTGAGAGTGCGATGAAAGTGTGTTATTCATTGGTCTTTAATCTTTACCTGATTTATCATGATGAACAAGTAATGCTTTGGTGTCATATAACAAAGACAAACACGTACATGCATTTTAAAGCAATAAATTTCTCAGTCCACTGTGGTACAATAGCAGAAGATCAGGAATGACACAAGATGTGCCATCAGCAATGGCAGAAACCAACTCGATGGTCATCCATTGGGACATTGACAACCAACTAGATCATATGCATCTAATGCACCATAAACACCTCGCACCAATTTTCATCGATCATTCACCATTTCTTTGTCATGAAATGCTTACTGTTTTACTTCCCTTTCAATCTATCTGACTCTCACTACAACCAACAACTCCCTACTTTACATCTTAACATCTCTCATAGTCTATGTACTTTCCCCAAAAGAAAGGAAGGCGACCAATTGCCACATATTTAGCCCAAATGCCAGATTCTTATAATTGCTAATAAAACAGAAGATTGAATAAGATTGTAGCAGATGTAAATATGGATGAACATATCTGCTAGAAAGACCAGAATGAACAACTATGTTTAACAGCCCTTTACAATATGATGGAATAGGATACCATGATCCTTTATTGTTAAAATGCTAGGAATGCACAAAGAGCCGTAGTAATTATCTTATCCATGTTACTAACAGTCTCCCTTGTGTAGGATTAGGCCATAAAGTCTAGAGAAATCACAACCAAATATTTACTTCAAATCAAATTCCTAAACTTTCGAATGATAGTCCAACCAAGGACATTAAGAACATGACTGAATGCCACAACAATAAAGAATGTGAAAAATACAGAGTAAAAGAACCACACAGGCACTTATTTATTCAAAAATTCGAGCAGCATATAACTGAGTTATGCATTGTCAACAAAAATCCAAGGTACAATAGTCCCAATTCCTCAATTTAACACCTTTTCAAAACCTACGAAAGTAGAGAGCATCATCTTAAATTCAAAGCATCAAACAGTATAAGAAAAGAACCTATTTTTCCACTAGCCATGACATCTGTTCATTTTGCTTCAACTTCAGATGGTGTCTTTGCCACGATAGACAAGGCGTGCAATCCACTCTGCAACTCTTCATCCAACAAACCATAAATTAACCTATGCCTTTTAACCAAACTCGTCCCTTCAAATTCCTTTGACACAATTCTCAAATTAAAATGCGTTTCCCCATCACTACCCCTCACACCAGCATGTCCAGCATGCTCATAAGAAACATCCTCCACTTCCAATACAACAGGACTAAGCTCCCTCTCCAGCTTCTCCCTTATCCTCATTCCTCTACTTCCCAAACCACTTGAACTTTCTTCACCACCCCTTGGAGAACTCGATCCAACGCCTAAATTCTCATCAACTTTTGAATCCAAGATTGAGTTATCAACAGGTTTTTCACTGCTACCCGCTTGAGAACTCAATCCATCACTCACAACCTGACCACTACTGGAAGATCCACTACCCTTCTCAGCATCAATGAGCAACTCAAGTGCCTTCCTTTGCATCAGCTTCAACATGTTCAAAAACCCATTATTCCTGGAAGGTGTCAAGCTTTGTTGCAGCCCAAGAAGCACAGCAAAATCAGGAGAAACTCTCAAATTTCCTGGACAGGCCTTCCGGACAATCCATTTACGAGCAAAGCAGCAAGTCCTTTGGTTAAAACAGAATCAGAATCAGCTTCGTAGACAACATTCTTGTCTTCATCCAGATAAGCCCTAACCCAAACCTGCGAAACACAACCCTCAACCTTGTTCTCTCTAGTTTTGAATCGGGTATCAAGGGGTTTCAAGTTTTTGCCATAAAACATGAGCTGCTCGTACTTGGCTTTGGGTTCTTCAACAGACTGGAAAAGCTTGACGATTGCTTGCAGCTTAGGAGGGAGTTCCTCCATGGGTTGGAGTTGGGTGGAGCTTGATGAGGATGATTGGAGCGGTGGTGGTGTTTTAGTAGGAATCTTCTGGAAAGAGATGGATCTGTTGTAAAAAGAAGGACAAATTGGAGGGTTTAGAAGGGGAAAGGACGGGCTTTGTTGGGCGGAAAGAGATTGGGAATTTGGAAGTGAAACAGCGAGCGGAAGAGAAGGAATATGATGACATTCTTGATGTTTGGAAGCAGAGGATTCCAGACACAGAGCAGCCACCGTACCAAAGTTTCATCCTTTATTATAACTGAAACGCACCGTCCCTCCCTCCTCTAAAGGTTCTCTATACCACCCAAATTTTCAAGTTCAAATTTACGGTGTATGAATAATGTATGCCAAAAGCCTTTTTCCTTTTTTTTCTTTTTTTGTTCTTTATTGAGAAAAAGAAAAGAGGCTCCTTTAAATGTTGCACCTTCTACTTTCAGGTTGGAGGGCTACCTAAGCAAGTCTGAAGACTGCAAGCTCAAATTTTGGTTAAATTTGCCAAGCTCAAAATACATTGATGTTGCTGTCATGGATAGTGCAAAAATCATTGCCTTTTGAGAGAAAAATAGAAGTCAAAATCAATACTTGCATAAATGTCAGCAGAGCTGCAGAAGATCAAGGAAAATACAAATCTGAAATGATGCCTAGTTTCTTACAGTCTATATTATCACTAGATTACAAAATCAGGACCCAATTTTCCTGTACCCCAAAGCAGAGGGTCCTTGCATGAAAACAAACCAGAAACTTCTTGTACAAACTTGTACCTAACATATCCTCATGTTCATCATTTACAGGTCATTAGAACAAAGTTGATGACATAAAAGAGAGCACGGATGCTGGCGTGTTCAGCACCCGTGAGCAGAGGTGAGCTACTTATGTCGTGCACTCTCTTATAGACTTCCTGAAAGATTGGCCGTACATGCACTGCGATCATTTGGTCGCCTGGGTTTATGGCAGTGGCCACATCTACCATCCATGTGAGTTTTCGTGGTGTATCCTTGTTGATGTCACATGCCAATTGCTGCAAGAGAGATAGCAGCACTCCTTGGCTCAAAGGAAAAGGGGCAGTTGACAGAATGCTACGTAAATCAACCTAGCATAAGCAGGATAAGGAGAGTAAATACCTACAGCAGAGCCTTTTAACCAAAAGTTCAAGACAAAAGTTGAGACAAGAAGCAACAGGGAAAAATGAAAGGGAGACTTGACACCTAGCATCAATATGAATTCAAAATCATAAAGAAGGAAGCCAAAATCGAAAGTTTATACTTCATATAATCTTTACACTTAAAACATTAAAGGCATACCTGTGAACATAACCAAGCAACAATAGAGAGGTCACTTCTTTGCAGGGCAGCAGTGAAAGCTTCATCATATTTGCGTTCAGATAACAATTTTGATAGCTCCTTTGTTGGATCCATTGGCACCTCAACCTGAGGCAAGGACATAAAATCCTTTGTCTCTAAAGTAGCTAACTGAAACATTTATGAAAAGAAAACGAAGCAATACTTAACAGCCTGATTGACTTTGGCAGTCCAGGTTTATTGAGAATTATAGCAGAGAAACACAAGTAAATGGGGAAACAAATGTACCTTGTCATACAGAGCACTTAAAGGTCCATTGCTGAGTTGAGAAGTCAATGGGCTTGCTGCATTTGAGTTAGCTCCTGCAGCTGCAAAAGCTAAAAGTTTTCGCTGTCCATCAGCAAATTCTCCACTTAAGGTTTGAGCAAGTGATGATGCAGAGTTTATGGCATCCTGCAATTAAAATAAATTTCAAAGGACAAAATTATACAGAGATACTTTTGAAAAGCAGCAACAAACTGACAAACACACACATTGAACAAGAACTGAAGCAGCAAATAACATTGCAGTTGAATGCATATTACCTCAAATGGCCAAAAAGCGACATTACACCAATAATCCTTACCAATAAGTTATTCAACATCTAATACTGAAAATGTAATACAATCTTCGAAAAACAACAAAACTAATCAGCCTTCTAGCGAAATTGTAAGTGTAACACAAAAATATACCCTTAAAGCAATTGCCAAAGAAGAACTTGCAGACTCAAAGTGTTGCTGAGCAGCATTGGTATGTTCAACCATCCCTTTCTGAAATGCAGCATCTACTTGCTCAAACATTGCTTTGCATGACATCTCAAAGGCAGGGATCACCAAAGCCTCCACACTAGATTTCAGAGCCTCCTAAATAAAATAAATAATAAATAAATTAATAACCAGAAATCGCCTGGAACATGCCAAATGACAACAACTTTATGTAAAAGACTGCAAATAACCCTTTTCAGCTATTCAACTGAGTGAAGTTGAGCTTGTACATACCTGGAGTGCTTGCCTGCCAGAAGTTTGAAACTGTGCTTGAATTTGCCTGGCAACCATGGCCTCAAGTTTTGAATTAACAGATTTTTCTAGTTGATTCACTGCCTTATCTCCAACCCCTCTCTGTGGCACAAAGGACTAGTTAGATTCCACTACGACAGCTTTCAAGCAAAAGAACTAGATCTTTAGAATTCTAACCTGGAAGGACTCAGTGATAACTGAAGTTACTGTTTTCTCTATTGCTGGAGTAACGGTACGAATTACAGCTGGTCCAACTGCAGTTAATTCCTTCTTGACTGTTTTGTCTAATATAACTGTGAAGTCCTTGTTTATAAAATTAGTGATCAAACTCATTATATGCTGTGCACGTTCTCGTGACAACTTCTCATTTTTGGCATTCTCTTCTTGAAAACGAGCCCATAGAGCATCAGTGTTGGCCTTAATGGCTTTCTCAATGTTCCGTCCAAGAGCTGCCTCTAGTCTTCTGCCTTCTTTTGTAACCGGGAGATTGACTATATTTGACATTTGTTTCTGCATTTCCTTTTGTGTAGTAATTAGCTGCAAGAATGATTGAAATCACAGTCAAGAGACCATATTTGATGCAAAAAAAATTTAAACTACATCTGTATGCAAAAGTATGCTAACATATTGCTAAGTGAAAAGCAGTAAAGGAACAATAGGGAAATATATTTTACAGTTCTCAACCAAAATTTACAACAGAGGACTAATGGTGAGACAAAGCTAAACGAAACTAGCATAATCCCCCCATCCCCAACCCCCATCCAAAACTAAGTAAATAAAATAAAGGAACCTGGGTCAGTTACAGGGGCTAAATTAAATTCACCAAAATTACTAAACCCTTAATGTAACCAATTCAAAATTGTTAAAGACTTCTTCACCAATACTCAAGTGTAGTAATTTACTATACTTACACCAGTCTCCACCATATTTAAATGTTACCATGCAGAAGCAAAGTGCACATGCAGCAGATACACACAGGTGTACCTATCTTTTTTGTTTCCAATTTTACTGTCTATAGGCAATCACCTGATTAAGCATCTCTTGCATAGCTGCGATTTGAGGAAATGCAGCACCTGTTGAGGGGAGATTGGAATTCCCTCCTGGCTCAGTGGAAGAATCTGCAGAATTGAAAGTGCTTGAAGATGGAGAAGATTGGCCAGATGCTTGAGAACTTTTCCCCTTCTGCTTCTTCCCTTTTGTACCTGGTGCCGGTGATTGCGGAAATGTAGAAGGCATGGCTGATTCCAAAACCTTTCCAGACAGATCTTTTCTGGAATCATGGATTTCTTCCTCACCGACATTAGGTTGCACAAGTGACCCTGATGAAGCGACACCATCTGCTTGCTGAGATTCATCCACAATGTATGCATCTCTTGAAATTGCACAGCACTCCCTAGCCATCTGAATGCCAAGATCTGAAGCCTGAGAGCAAAAGAATCTCTCTCTATTTTCCAAGTTTCGATTTTGGGAGTCTCCATGAGAACCAAATTCATTGTTCTGAGAAGATCTTGCTTCACCCACCACTTTTACCTCAACCTCAGCATTGCGCCCATCATTGTTAACAACCACATCTTGAATGTTCACCTCACCCTCACTCTTTCCCTCAGTGATATTGGTAGTTTCAGATGATGATACAGCCATCAATATCTCAGAGGGAGTCACAAGATGAGTTGGATGTTTGAAAATGATAGGCGGATTACATGCATTAGATTTCTCATCTGCTACTATCTTCTTCTCATCATTTCTCAAAACATCTTCTGAAGAATGCACATCAGACAAATTTGCTCGAACAGTTTCCATTTGTCTGTCAACTGAATAATCGACAACCAGCTGGTTTCCACCATGGTCACCAAGCTGGGATGTTGGCTCAAAGCCATTTGACGGACTATGAAAACCAGAGGGCTTTCTAGACAACCTAGGACTAGGAGGAAGTGGTGGCGGTGATGCAACACAAACAATATCCGCATCACTTGCTGTTGATGCCAAAGCAGTAGGGGGAGATTTAGAATCAATATTCAAAGTATTAAATGTTTCTGCAGTTTTTGCCTCGATAGAAGGAGGGCTTGAAGGATACCTTGCTGCAATTGAATTTTCAGAGCTACTAACTTGTGTAGTTGGTTTGGGAACTGAACCATAAAGAGATAATTCAGAAGGTTTATTTCCAGGTGGATCCAAAGCATCAAAGCCTTCAGCATTAGTTGCATCACATGAAACATATGACTCTGACTTCTCTAAGCCAGTATTATCCAGTGGTGGTGGGATGCACTGGCATAACTCCAAGGCATACTGCTGTATAGCCTGTGTCTGAACACAATAAATTTTAACAATATGTTCATCAGGAGGATCGCTTGTCCCAGTAAAACTTAGTATAGGCATAGTGACAGTGAACTCTGCTATGTAATCCATGCACGTTGCTGCTGGACAAGAGCCATATTCTACATGTACAGCATATATAGCATTTCTTTTAGCATTTGCAAGTAAGAAAAGGCCTGCTTGAGATAATACAACAACTTGATTGAAGAATGCTTCTTCAATTTGAGGTTCAGTAGAGCTCTTCAAGTCTAATGTCTGGGTGCAAGTCCATGTTTCAGTGTTGCTTGGAAGTAGCCAACCCTCTTCACTTGCTGATGTCCAAATTTTGATTTCTCGATTTAGGGGCCCCTGGCAAAAAATGTCAAATAATTCAACTAAGAAAAATCAGACAAATGGCTATTCATCAGAATGAAAAGACTGTCACATGGAAAAGGAACCTATATTATACTAACCAAATCAATAACAATTTGCTTAACCATGAACATTTTATCAACAGGTCAGCACATAACCACTAGACAGAAGTATGATAAGGACAAGGTGAGAGAGAGAGAGAGAGAGAATACAGCAATTATTACCCCTGTTATGAGTATAATATGATCTGGTCGGTGAGGCGCATTCAGGAAGGTAGCAGAATAAACAGGTTGGCCATCATGTGGTCTCAACACTGCTAGTGGCACTGCCTTGCGGTCATCCCATATCTTTATCTGTTGCATAACATAAGCTTGTAAGTAAGGCATTCCAGACATAACTGCATTTTACTCATTTATTCAACATGAAATTTCAGCAGTAGACAATAATAAACCAAGCACTTAGTTCCATGATTCTACCACAATGGAACACAGAGAATAGACAGATATCCACATATCAACATAACAAAATGAAGCGAAAATACAAACCGTGCCATCTTTAGAAGCAGAAACCAATCGGGTAATCATCCATTGACACATTGACAAATCAGTAATTTCTCCATCATGTTTGCCAACCAACTGAATACCATCAACCAACTTGTCAATTGGACATTGGAGAGGTGAAGGTGCATCAACTGAGAAGACTTCACTCTTCCCAACTTTCATAGTATCAATTCTCAGAATGCGTTTTCCAATCCCAGCCACCAAAACTTCCTGCAAAATGTGATCGCAATACTCGTTGGCAACAAAACAGTAGCAAACCTCTCGTTAAGAATGAGCACTGAAAGTTGCATTACCTGTTTGTGACAGTGCCAACAAATTCGTGGATGTACATATTCCTCGTCACCTAATATTTGAACACCAATAACTATCTTTCCTGTAATCTGTGGCTTATCTTCTTCATCTGGATCTTCAGATATCTTCCATACAAATACCCGTCCCTCTAGACTCACACTGAATAAGAGTGTGTCACCAAGATGGGGAAAAAAAAAGCACAACATAATTAACAATTAAAGAAAGTAAACTACCTAGCCAAAAGGTGAACATCCTCAGCAAAGAAAGCCATGTCTGTAACCCTCTGAGAAAAGGAAAATGTCACTTTCAATGAAACAACAATAAGCCAACAAAAGTCTAGACAAATTATATTTTAGCTCTATTATGATACCAGCTCTAAAGAATCACCAAAGTAGATGCACAAATTTTTTAACATTCATACTCGCAGTCACATCCTCTCAAACTAACATTTACGTACTTTGCAAAATAACCAAAAGGCAAAGGAAAAGAGCAAGGTAAATTAACTATCACAACTGGCTCTATATACACATAAACACCATGTTAGCCACCACCATCTTCATTTTTCATCCCATAGAAGCACAACAATATTACCAGCCACCATGCCACAAGCCTCCAACTTTTATCCAATGGTCACCCAAACTGAAGTGCCATTGCCAAGGAGGCAATTAAACATTAACTGAAACCTAAAAAGTAAGGAAAACAATATCAAACCCAACCACCAATTCTTCAACTTATAAACAAAATTACACTACTGTGCACCATGATGCTACAAAACTTCAAACCAAATTCCAATAACACAGCCATCACAACCTAGGATGCAGTTCTCTTTTAACTAAAAGTTGAAGTTTCCACAATCATTGAAAAGCAGTGAATTATGCAACTAGAGCTTGGCATGCCTGACTTAATATGAACATTTATTTCATACCATAACTTTGCCAATATTTCATCATAAACATACCAAGTTTGCAGTCATGCACTTCAATACCATGAAACTCTAACCTCAATTCTATTACCACGTTCATTTCAATCCAACAGAGAAACTACAAGAAGATACTAAAGTTAAAGAGCTAAACCTGCGTGTGCCCACGAAACAAAGACCTCAATGCAGTGTTTATATTAAGAATCCTAATATTGCCTCCTTTTAGCCCATAACAAATGTAAGACTTATTAACAGCAATCTGCCTGCCCACGACCAGCTGAGGGTCAGACCCATACTTTGTTATGGGAGTGACCTCAAGCTGCGGCTGAACCTCCCCGGCTAGCCTCGTATCAATATCATAAGCCACCTGAGCGCCTGATAACCGCCTGCCCTTGGGCAGCTTGCAACTTGGCACCCTTAAAGGCCCCACATTGGGACCTGCAGAGCCCAAAAACTCTGCGGGAGGTGGTCTGCTGTTGAGAAAGCTGATTTTGAGGTGGGAAATCTGGGTTCTGCGGAGAGGAGTTGATAAGGCAAGAATTTGGGTGCCAATGTAGGGGCCAAGGGAAGGGGAAGGAAGGAAAGGATTTTTGCATCTTGTGGGGCGCTTGGGTAATTTGGATGGGCAGCAGAGAAGGAGGCATGTAAAATTGGTGTACTGGGGTGAAAGAAAGGAGGAGAGGTGGAGGATAAGAAGAGGAGGAGTAGGATAGGAGCAGATGGATTTTGCTGTTGGGATTTGTTGGGGTTGCTGATGGGTTGAAATTGTGGGTTTGAAGAATTTCTGCATGTCAAATGGGATGGTTTGATTTGGGTTTCCTGTTGAAGCCATCTCACAAAGAAAGAAGAAGGGATCCTTTTGGTTCTTGAAAGAATGTGATTTTTATACGAGTAAAAAGATAGGTATATAATATGTGGCAGAAGTGAAGATCTGAGTAAAGAAAGGAGGAGCAGAAGAGAATCTGAGAGAGCTGGAGAAGAAAAGAAAGAGAAAAGGAGAGACCCCTGAATCTGAATGATGGTGACTCGAAGTGAAGAGGTGGGGACTTGGAAGAGAAAATTTGGGAGCCTTGTGGGTTTCAAAAGGCAATATTGTGTTCTGAGCGGAAGAATTGAAAAAAAAAAAACTTACTTTAAGGTTTTGGATCATGGCTTTTCATTTCCTTTTTCGTCCCCTGTATCTCCCTATGCTGTTTTCGATTACAAGTAAAGGGCTGTTTCTATGTGAAACATGTGATTAAGATTAGAGATAACAAGAAGCCTGTGTTGTTCCATTTGAAAGAAAAAGCCCATGTCTTGAAGCCCCAACTCTCAGAAAAGAAGCCCAAACCAACAAGCCAACCAATCCAACCACCATCTCAACTGCATCAGCTGAACAGTACCCATCCAAAGTCGTAAAAGCCAAAAATCCTAAAGTCCACCCCTTTTTATCAGCAAAGTTACTCACTTTTCCTATTCTTTTATCAAATTGAGATGGGATTTGAAGGTTTTCCCTTCGTTGGATGAGATTTGCAGTTGAAGGGTAAAGCAAGAAGCAAGAAAGAATCTCTCTCCCAATCTTTTTAAGTCCCCCTTTTATTGCTTACCTTTTAAGCCAGCTAACAATTCAAAACGTCCAAGTATTTTCAAGCAGTCCAAATCCCCCACTTTCCCCTTCACTCCACGTTTTTCTCTCAGATCCAAAAACCACCCCTTTCCCACTCTTCACATATCTCTTTCTTTCTTTCTATAAAGACCCTTAAAACCAAAAACCCAGATCAAAAATCCCCAGAAAGAGCCCAAACAGAAGCAGAAAGTTTTCTTCTTTTTTTGTGTAAAGATGTGTTGTGGGAGCAGAGTGTGCATGCTGTGCACATGCCTGATACTTGTGGTGGTGTTGATTGGATTCTTGTTTGGTTTTGGGGTTTTCAAGAATGGTTTTCACAAGCTCAAGGATACATTGCATGAGGAATATTACCCCTGTGATCCTAAACTCTCTTCCTGTGGGAGGCCTTTCTTGGGTTATGCAGCTCCTCCTCCTTTCTAAATTCTAGGCCTTTTCTTTATTGTTTTTTAGTTTTTTATTGTAATTGGCAATTGCCAAATGGGATATTTGTTTCTTTGTTGGGATTTATGAAGTTTAATTCTATTGTTATTTGTTTATTTTGTGCAGTTTCTTGAATCATGTCTTTACTTTTAAAGATGTATTCTTTATTTCTTCTGTGAATTGATGTGTTCTTGTGTACTGAATCTGCATCATCTGTACAAACAACATTCAAGATCGTTTGGTCTTGAAGCTACCATTGCTAACATATTCATCAAAGCCTTCAACTTTTTCAATCAATTGGTTGAAGTGTGTTGTAGAGTCCTATCTTAAACCAACCACACCAACAAACTCAACAAACATACGCGTTTTGATGGATTCAAACTTAACAAACAGGGTTTGATGGATTCAGTGAAATCTGGTCTAAACACTGAGAAGTATACTCAATTTTGTCATTCTTATTATTCAAAGAAGATTAAGTTGATCATCAGGGGAAAATGGAAGAGTGCTGTGTTGTAACAGATAAGCAGAATGTTATACAGATCTTATCTTCATTAATAGGACAAAATTAGTGAGACAAACAAGTGCCATCACTCATTGGCATTGGCATGAGATTCATGCTAGATCCTCTATGCCCCAGGGAAACTTTTTATCCAAAATGCTCAATCAAAAGATCAAAACCATGGTGCAGTTTCTTGCGGCAAATGAGATCAGAAAAAAGAGAAGGGGGGGAGGTGGTACATTCTAAAAGGGGTTGAATGGGCTATGCATACACATACTTAAGACTTCAGGCCATCAACTAGGCATTCCATGGATTAAATCATGAGGTTTCAAATGATTTCTTTACAAGTATATGGTGCACCTTCTTGCAGCAAATGAGAACAGCAAAAAGAGAAGTGGGGAGGTGGTATATTCCAAAAGGGGGTGAATGGGATTTGCATGCACACTTGAGGCTTCAGGGCCTCAACTAGACATTCCATGGATTAAATCATGAGGTTTCAAATGATTTCTTTACAAGTATATGTTTCTAAAGCACGATGTGAGATGCCGCTGCTGATGATGATCAAACTTACTCCAAAAATACCAACCAAAACACCTCAAATTCCACCCAAACTTACTACATAAAGTCAAGTTTCCAAAGCTGATCATAGTTGGAACTCAGAGGTGATGTGAACAGGATCAAAGCTTGGTCAAAGTATAATTTAAACCTAATCATTATTCTCTTCTTAAAAATTAACTTGATAAAATTTACCACTTAAACTTGAGATTCCGTAACAATTAAGTCTAATTGCGACCTCAAGGTCAAACCCAAGAAAATAGTCGTATCGAAGCGTGAAACTTATATTAGTGATAGCACAAATTCAACTAATAGGGAAAAGCCATGTAAGCGTTTAACTCTACTCTGGAATGTAGACAATCAAATCACCTGCTTCTCTTCGACACGAAGTAAAATTCAGAACAGAACAGAAACTCTTCGATAAGAACAACAGCATAAAAGAAGTCTAAGTGAAACAAGGTAAAGTCCTCTCCTTTTATATTATTAAACGTCCAAAACTTAACACTAAGTTAAACCCGACAACAAGGGAAAAACACACGCAGGAGCAACAGAAGATCCAAAGCCAAAACCCAAGATGAAAATCACTGTAATGACGGCAGATGAACAGATCCTTAGCTTAGATGTTGATCCTCATGAAACTGTTAAGTACCCTTTTGTCCCATCTTTGTACTTATTCTGAATTTCTTTATCTTTGCTGAGGTTTTTTTTTAATTTTGTTGTTCATAGGTTGAAAATTTGAAAGCTTTGCTGGAAGTGGAGGTCAGAGATCATTACCCTTTGGTTATTTGTGCTTCCTTTTCAATAAAGTTAATCCTTTTGGGATTAACTGTGAGCATTTTGTTTTCTTTCTTTGCTTTTCTTCAAAGGGTTTAGGATTTTTTGAAAGTTAATTGTTTGAGATTCTTTAGCTCACGTTACTTGATAAAAGATTAACTTTTTTCCTTGTCTTACTTTGAAAAAAAAGGTTTTCTTCAATGGTTTTCTTTATAAATTTTGGATTTTTAAGAGTTGACTGTGGAGCTAAGCTTATGCTGATTGGTTAGAGCGTGTTTGGTGTTTATGGGCAGACTACGGTGCCGCTACAGCAGCAGCAACTGCTGTACAATGGGAGGGAAATGAAGAACTTTGAAAAATTGAGTGCATTGGGTGTTAAGGATGAGGATTTAATCATGATGGTCTCCGGTGCTGCTTCTAGGTGATGCATTATCATATTGCTTCCTGTAGTGTGATCTTTAATGTCACTATCGGTTTTTGAAAGGTTCAAGATTCACCTATTATGTTAGGGAGTTGGCCAATGAATTAGTATTTTTTTCATTTTGTTAGGTGGTTAATTTGCTTTGCTCATATAAGCATATTTGATTTTGTTGAAACTTGAATCAAAAGTAAATGAAAAGAAAGGATAAGCCTTCAGCCAGTTAAAGTGCAAGTTATATCTATCCAGAACTGACCTGGATTGTTATGAATCATTGCAGTGCATCTGCCAATGATTTGAGCTTCAATCCTGATGGATCTGCTGTGAACCCTGGAGCTTTCCAGCAACACATTCGACGTGATTCTAATCTAATTGGACAACTATTTCAGACTGATCCTGAATTTGCACAAGCTGTTGTCGGAAATGATCTTAACAAACTGCAGGACCTTCTGCGAGTGCGTCATCGACAAAGATCTGAATTGCGACGACAAGAGGAGGAGGAACTTGTGAGTAGCTTCTCCTAGTTGTCTGTGCCTTTAGTTGTTTGTGTATCAGTGGTCAAATGTACAACAGTACTTCTTTGTGTTTCACTTCATTATATTCCAATTTGATAAAGTTATCGAGAAGTTTTTTGATTCTAAAAGAGCATAATCATACTTATGATAAAATTATATTGTCTTGATCATCTCTGTAATTGATACACATTTATTTGATTTTGCACTATAGGCTCTTCTTCAGGCTGATCCTTTTGATGTTGAAGCACAAAAGAAAATTGAAGCTGCCATTCGTCAGGTTAGTTTTCTGCAACATTCTACTAATCTAACTTAATGTGAACCAATTATTTGCATTTGAAATGTGTCATATGTTAATTTATGGTTTGACAAAGATTGTTTTGTCTCTGTAATTATCTCTCATTTTTCTGGACAATATCATGATGCAGAAAGGGATTGATGAGAATTGGGCTGCTGCCTTGGAATATAATCCTGAAGGTTTTGCAAGGGTGGTATGTAGGCTTGTTTCCCTTGTGAATTTACCTATTAAATTTTATTACTTTTTTCCTCTTTAAAATTTAGTGTTTCTTTTCATACTAATCAGGTTATGTTGTACGTGGACATGGAGGTTAATGGTGTCCCATTGAAGGTAAAGACGGTAGCTTGTGCTGTATATTTATTAACAAGGGTCATCATTATATGATTAAAGCCTATAGGTTCCATTAAACCCTTTGCTTTACATTCTCTTTTAATTCTAAGGAGTCTGAACAATGTACATCATGGGACTATCCTTTCTTTTCCACTTTGAGAATCTCGTTTGCAATTTTTTATATAAGGTTATAGTTGAGATTCTGTATTATTCTGTTCATATATACCTTGATGTTGAATATTGGACTCTGAGAAGTTTACTGAAGTTGTTACTTGATCATTCTTTTCAGGCATTTGTTGATAGTGGGGCACAGTCAACAATAATTTCAAAAAGCTGTGCTGAGCGGTGTGGGTATGTGCTATAAACATTTTTTCATTTTCGCATATCTAAAATGCCTTTGCTATATAAGTCATCATAGCAAAATTGAATTAATCACTGAAATATTCCTCCCCCTCCTTCGTACGTGGCCGAAGGTGTTGGGGATTTGTAATTAACATTATTGTCTGGCTTTTCTCATGAAAAGGGGATTCTGCTGACTGAATGTTTCCTTTCCATTTCTTAGTTAGTCATGCTATTATATTTGTCTCTTCATAAGACTTTAAAATCGATGGCCTTGTCCTTGCTGTGTTGGTGTTGTCCCCTCCAGATTGCTTAGGCTTTTAGATCAAAGATATAAAGGTATTGCTCATGGAGTTGGCCAATCAGAGATACTGGGACGAATACATGTTGCTCCAATCAAGGTAGGATGTGTACTGGTTTTCTAGAACAACATTATGTCTTAACTTTCTTTTTTCCTTCAGTTGGTTTTTATGAAACTTGTTTGACAAATAATCCTAACATGAACATACACTTATTCATTATGCTTACTCTTGGTTTATCTCATGTTTGTAGATTGGAAATATATTTTATCCTTGCTCCTTCTTGGTTCTGGACTCTCCCAATATGGAGTTTCTCTTTGGATTGGATATGCTCCGTAAACACCAGGTAGCTACATCTCGACGTGACTTAATATGTGACATTTCTGTCCAGTTTAGTGCTTACATTCCTTAAGTTCATATAATTCTTACTTGGGCAATATGTGCAGTGTATTATTGATTTGAAGGAGAATGTTCTTAGAGTTGGAGGAGGAGAAGTATCTGTACCATTTTTGCAAGGTTGGTGAATTTAATCATTATATTGGGCCATTGTTTCAGAGTTAAGAATTACCATGTGGTCATTATGTCAATCTTTTTCTCTGAATTTGTGCTACTGGATTTCTTCCCTTATAATGGAAGTTAACTAAAGTCTTTACTCTTCTCAGAAAAGGACATACCTTCTCGCTTTCTTGATGAAGAAAGGTATTCGAAGCAAGCATCCAGCTCAGGAGCTACTGTAAGTCTTTTATGTATCTGCCATGCACTATCTGAGTCTTTGCTACCGTGAAATTATATCCCACATAAGAATTATGTTGCTTCCATGAATTCCCATATTTGTGGGGAATATATCTACGGTTCCTAGTTTGGCACTGATCTTTAGGTAGTGGAGATGCATTTTAGCATTTTTTTTGCCACTGATCTTCTGTGATTCTTCAGGCAACAACTGGAATAACAGAGAAGAATCCTAGTTTGCAATCTGGAGGTCAATCTTCTGGTTAGTAGTTGTCATCTGACTCTTGTCATGGCATGCTTTCATGTTGCTTTTGTTCCAAAATTCATCTAAATGCAACTTTATTATTTAACTGGTACATACTTCCAGCATTAATTTTTTTTCCCCTTAAGCAAGGTTTTATTGCTTGAAAGAGGTGTTATGAAAGCACTTTGTAAGTGATTCATATTCACAGACTTTGCCTCTGAAATGCTTTCCTTCTTTTTCTTCTTTGCTCCCAGGAGGTGTACGAGGTGATGTGACACAGGTATGTCTGCTCTGAACAATTCTTTTACACCTTGCTAGCTTCTATACAGAATATTTCTCTAAGCTGTATTTTGATAACCTGATGAAGTTGATTCCGTTTCTATATATCTTCAAGTTGATCACACTGTAAATTTGAGAATTCATTCTTAGCTTCATTGCAATCCAAGGTGGGGGGTTGCCAATTAGTATACAGCAGTAGATAACCCATTTTGATTGAGCTGAAGCCTGAAGGTTCAATGATTGACCCAAATTCTAATAAAATACTTATTATTTTTCTGCAGAGACCTGATTTTGAAGCCAAAGTTGCAAAGCTTGTTGAGCTGGGGTTTGCAAGACAAATGGTGATAGAAGCTCTTAAATTAAGTGATGGCAATGAAGAGCAGGCTGCTGGGATTCTCTTTGGAGGCTGAAGAATCACTTGCAATTTCCATTTTTAGAAATAACTTTGATTTCAATTATTAAATGACAAACTTTTACACATTGATAAACCTGTACTTGATATCCATTTGATTTGAATTGTTTATACATAACTGAGGAAGTGTCGCAATTCAAAAGAAACTGAATTTTCATTGAAAGAAACATTTTTTTCCTTTTTGTTTTAACTGCTGATGGAGCACCTGAAGCTGAATATTTGTTATTTCTGCAGTAGTGTTGGTTTAATGGTTTCCTTAGCTAACATGACTATAATCCTGAAATGCCAGGTACGTTCTGTATGATTATCTTAAATGGCTAAAAAACAATCCAAGTGACAGAATGTTATACCATACTGCATTTTATTTTTAAAATCAAATACTGCAACACCAAGGAATACAATCACCAATCATCAATACAACAAATTTCATTGTATGATTCCAAACGAGACATTATAATGGAAGTTTATAGATGATTCACTCAAAGCCTCCCAGTCAAAAATTCATCCAAAATTACACTCTGTAAAGAATACTCAGAACATTCTATCCTGGGGAAGATCTTGTTTTTCTTTTTCGGTTTTTTTTTTTTTGACAAAATCTCATTCATATTACAAAAAAGGACACGATCAAAACCTTTCTGCCAATCTGGCAGAAACTTGTCTAAGTTTTGAGTAAACCTTCCCAGCAGGGGAACCTAAAATGAGGCTGCAAAGAGAATCCCTAGCAATCTTGATGTTGGCAAACGATCCCAGTATATGAATCTTGGAGTCAGCAATGACAATCCTAGTCTTTGTAGCGTTCTCAATAGCAAACTTTGTTTTACCACCTTTCCCGGACAGTCTTCCTATAGCTCGAGATAAGTGCTCTCCTCTAAGTGTCTTCACATCCTTGATTTCAAAGGACTCCACATATAGCTCATCCATCCTCAAAAGAGCAATGGCATCCACAACATCAAAACCCAACATGAAAGCCTGGACAAAGTCTGCACACTTCTGAAGGTTACTAATGTCAGGTGTATCTGATCTTGTTTTCAGTTCAACCTTCCGAGCTTTGAGATTCATACGGATGTCAATCTTCATCTGTTCATAAATTGGTGTATAGATATCCATCCAGTATTTCTTGAGAGGTGAATACCTATGAGGTGGAACAGAGACCTTTCTAAACTGGACTCGACCGTCAGACATCTCATGTGCCTTCAGGGGCTCAAACTTTGGCTTCGGTGGCAATGAATTGGATTCAGGTTTAGGTTCAGAAGGCAAGGTTTCAATATCCATGGTGGCGGCTGCTTCAGCAGACATCTTTCTGCTATCTCAACACAAACTAGTTGGAGTCTGTAAGAAAGGAAATTACAAGAAGTTCAAGTTATGATTGAAGATCAAAGTATAGAAAATCATGGGAAAAAAAATTGCAGCATCAAACAATAAATTCAAACCATCAAGAAATCATACTAGCAATGAAATCACAAATTACATCTACAAGAATACTGTTAAAGGCATCGATTTCATCTTAAAAAGAGGCAGTAAATCTTATTCTACTCACCAATGAATCAATTCAATAACATAAAAGACTAGTCCTTAAGGCTAAAACAACCAATCCCAACTGAAAAATAATAAAAAAAACAACATAATTCAAGCATGAATACGACACAACCATCAGAACTTTAGAGCCCAAAAGGGCAAAACTTGCATACTGTCAAAACAAAAGGCAACAAATTTGGAAGCATGACTACCCATACATGAATCCGAAATCATTCAACTTCAATTATCAGCAGAAGAACATGAACTTTAAGGAGGAGAAATAGAAAGACGAAAACGTTGACCTGACCTGCTGAAGAAGTTAGAAGAGATGGGTGGCGGCAGGACTGGACTTCAAACACAGAGACAACAAGGCTGTTTCAGCTAGCTTTCTACTTTTTGAAGAGAATAAGACCTTTGGGTACTCAAAAAAATAGGAGATAACCCTTCTCTTAACCCTGGCCGGAAGCAGAGAAGCGGAGAAGGTGGAGGCAACGAGAGAGGAAGAAGAAGCAGTAGCAGTAGAAGACTTAAACCCTAAAACTTACTAGCAGTGTTTACCGAACTACCCTTTTTGAGTTTCGGCTTTCATGTAAAGGGCTGGACTCCTTTCTCCCTCAGGAAGAATATTTGGCCCAATGATTCATCCATGGCCCATTCTGAAAGGTCTGTGGGCTATATGTTGGGTTTTCCAAAATAAATAATTTTTTTTGAAGATTTTACTAAAATAAATATTTTTTTTGCAGATTTTACTAAAATACATCTTTATAATTACAACGGATATCAATTAATTTTAAGATACCCAAATTCGATTAAAATTTTATTATTTATATTTTACTCAAATCTGATAAAAAATTTGTACTTATTATTTATAATCATATTCAAGTGATGAGTATTTTAGGACATGTATTATCCAAACTCATGATGGTAATATATAGTTTTACTAGCCTTACTCTTATTTAATGAGTCAGTATTACTCTCATATATGAACCATCATGCATGTCAAACTCTTCAAAAATATTCTAAGAATGAAACTAATCTATACAATCTATTACTCGTCTCGAGTTACTTTCATACTGTATGATCATATATGTAATATGAAATTATGAACCACCATGCATGTCAAACTCTTCAAAAATATTCTAAACTAACCCATAGACTGTGTTACTTGTATATAGTAGTATACTCATTATGAGACAATTTCATAATACTTTCATATTTGAACCATCATCGTGCATGTCAAACTCTTCAAGAACATTTTAAGGATGAAACTAACTCATACACTTTGCTACTCGTCGAAATTATTTTCATTTGTCCCGAGTTACTTTCATTGCTACACAATGGTATACTCTATGTATAGTCATATGCTTGATGTGAAACAATTTTTTCATATTATAGATGTTGTATACTCTTTTCCTTTTCTTTTCACCAGCATTTGAGGCAAGAGAAAAGGCAAGTTCATGTTGATAATAAACGTAGGCAATTAATAGACTGAGGGAAAAAACTCAACCAAGAATAGGAATAAACCTTCTATTTTTTTCTTATTACCTACTAGAAATTGATGTCATTACAATTGCCATCTTCTTGTTTAATCTTTCCCAAAGAATGGAATGAGAATAATAATGATCAAACCCTAATTAATCAACCCTATTTCACCAAATCTACTTGTGCTTCACCACGAGAGGACTCCTCACGTAGTGATGACCATTAGACCAAATCAACTGCCCAAATACATAGCCTGCAGGCTGTCCATTACTCTTTGCCTTGAATGTCACTTCAAATTTCTTCTCTTCACCCTTCTTCTCAAATGTTAAAGTTGAAGGGTTGACTGAAACTGCAACGCCGGCCGGTGATCTGACCCGGGCTCTGTAAGTCCCTGGTGAACCAACATTCTTCACCTTCCTGCTAACCGTTGCTGAGCCACTGAACTTATCAACTGAAATGGAAGGGTAGTTGAAGTCTGACAAACTGAATGACTTGGGACAAGTGTATGGCTTGTCTGAGAACAGTCTTATCATACTTTGATTGTAGCCACGGGAACACAAGTAGTTCAAGTAATCATCAACTGTTAAGTCGTAGACAAGACCGGGATCCATTGCACGGTTTGGTCTCACGTGTCCTGCACCGTAAGCAAACGGGGTTGCCTTCTTGTTGGTTGAATCAAGCATCGGGTTCCCAGTGTTATCTCTTGTTCTTGCTGCAAAAATGAGAATTTGGTGTTGGAAAATTTGGGCAATACGTGAAGAACGAAATGGAGTAGGGAGAAAAAGAGCTTGTATATACCGCTGGTCATGATTGCAGATTTGATAGCTGATGGACTCCAGTCAGGGTGGAGGCTCTTGAGAAGGCCAACAATACCAGAAACATGGGGGCATGACATGGAGGTTCCAGACATGCTGGTGAAAGGCATCCTACGTTTGTCAGATGTTTCTTCAGATGGCCCAACTGCTTCAGAAAAAGCTGCAATGATGCTCACTCCTGGTGCAGTTATATCAGGCTGAAACGAAATAAAGATTAGAAATATTAGACATGAAAAGAAGTATCGATGCAAACCCGAAGGGTTGATGAGTTGCCATTATCGCAAACCTTGAGGATTGATGCTTCAATCACATTGGGTCCCCTAGAAGAGAAAGAAGCCATAAAAGGAGCAGGCTTTGAACCCAATTCTGTCGTCGCGGGAGTAATATATGCTGTTGGCTTCCTGGTATAAGTTCATAAACAGAATGAGTTGGCTAGTGAAGCAATGGAACTTCAAGTAGAAAGTAAGAGAGGAGCTTACTTGGTTGAGTTGATGTATGCAAAAACAGTTTCACCGTCAGTGAAACTTATGTGTGAAGCTGGGAGCAAATGAGGATCTGCCATAATTCCATTTCCACTTTTCTCATCATTGGCGAGAATCATTCCAACCGCGCCTGCAAGAAGAGCCTGCTGACTCTTGTCTGTTCTTGCGTTGACTCCTCGAACACAGACTATAATCTTCCCCTTAACCTTTTTGGGATCAAGTGTTCCAGGCTGACAGAGGATACTGCAGAAAAAGCACAAGCAAGGCAATATATATATATGGGATCAATGATGTAGAATTATGAGTACACAGGGTGGAGAGTATGATGCTTACGCGTCTGCAACTGATGCGTTGGCTGCTTTAGCCGTTTCAGCACTGATCAATGGATAGAAACTCCTAGAAGACAAGCTTGAAATAGCCATGCTTGCTCCCTGGCAGCGGATACAATTATAACAGGTAATAAACCATTGCAAAGGTTAAATTAGTGAACCTGTTAAAATATATTGTAAAAGATACCTTGAGGCGCTTGTCGTTGCCTAGTTCAACATAACTGATGAAGTCCCGGTCAAGTGTGCTAGCACCAATGGTAAACACCCAGGGTGACACATTCGTTACAGTTTCTGGATCTGGTCCGTCGTTGCCAGCAGAAGCAACCACAGAAATGCCTTTCCTCATAGCATGGAAGGATCCAATCGAAGTCCCATCTTCAAAAAATTCAGCTATTTCACCACCCAATGACACAGAAAGCACGTCAACACCATCGCTTATTGCAGCATCATAGGCAGCCAGGATATCTGCATCAAAACACTCGTTGCCATCGATGGGGGGCCAGCATACTTTGTAAGCAGCCACACGAGCTTTTGGTGATCCTCCTTTTGCAGTTC